TAGAGCTGCAGCTAACGATTATTTTCAAAATCGATTAGTTAGCCGATTAGTAAGTTCGATTAATCGGTTAATCGGATAAAATTAAAATAAATGTAAAAAAATGGCTGCAGTGATGGACTACTAGTTTGTATTGAGATTGTAGTCCGTCACAGGAGCAAGCTTGGAGCGGTGGAAGTAAAAAAGAAAAAAAAAGTGTGGTGTGCAATATAGTGAAATTAAAAGTGTAAAATTATACAGCAATTAATGGAGAATGGCACTGGCTATAGAGGACTACAAAACCCAGCAATAGTACATTATACAGCACAATGCTAAATACCGCCAGCTATAATGTACTGGGTTTTGTAGTCCTTTACAGCTGGTGGTATTCTGCATTGCGCTGTATAATGTAGTATTGCTAGGTTTTGTAGTCCTCTATAGCTGGTGGTATTCTGCATTGCACCACTGTATAATGTATTATTGCTGGGATTTGTTGTACTCCTCTGTAGCTGGTGGTATTCTGCATTGCATCTGTATAATGTATTATTGCTGGGATTTGTAGACCTCTATACAGCGCAATGCAGAATACCACCTGCTATATAGGAATGCAACAAATCCCAGCAATACATTATACATAAAGTATATAATGTATTGCTGGGATTTGTAGTCCTCTATAGCTGATGGTATAATATAGCATGTTCAATTTCAGTGAATTTTCAATTAGCAAAGTTCATTTCCACATATCCTATGGATTGAAGAAAAACAAAGTAAACATTTACTTTGCAAGGAATGTTCAACTTTGTGTAGGAAAAAAAAATAAAAACACCCACTAAGCTCACAAAGGTCTCATTCCTATGGGCAGCAGACTCCATCTCCCCTCTGAAAAAGCAATCCGTAGTGTTTCGCTTTTCAGAGGGTGGTAGAGCAGCGGGTGCCTAGCATTCAGGAAGTGAAACTGCTGTTTATTGTTCTTTAGTTTTTTATTTCAATTCCGATGGGGATTTTCAATTGCTATACCACTCCACAAGCGTGTGTTGGTGCGGTTGTGGCCAATTAATTGCAATAATCACATGCTGTTTAGAATTTGCCACAGCATGTGTACAAGCATGAGCGGGCACAATATTACGTTTTAGGTGGGTGGTCAGGGGGTGGTAAATACACCGATCATCTGCACGTGTCGGCGAGGCCTAAGAGAAAAGAGACAACTGTAATTCCACAACTGCTGGCTTACAGTACAGTCACATATGGCCAACAAGCCAGAAGACATCTGTGTGCGGTTTGACATTAATCGTTCTCAAATATTAGGCTGTAACGGTACTGTAAAAAGTTCTGAATGCACAGTTGGCCCAAAGGTAACATAGTATGCATGGATCCATCCACCATCCTACGCTTGCGCCTTATTTTTTCGGTTTGTGACCGAAGAGAGACATGCAAATGCCTTTTGTGTTTTTTACTCACTCTGCTTAAAAAAGAAAATGCTGAAAGAAATATAAACAGGGGGATATAAAAGACACAAATTCATGCAGCTTTTCAATTATTATTATTACTACATCATGAATTTTTTTAAATGCAAGCAGTGTAAGTGCCTGGATTGTTTCTGGTATAAGTGTCTTGCAACCTTCTGTACAGCAGAGCTAAGGCTGGGAGGAGGAGAAGCAGTGCAAAGAGCCAGTCAGCTGTTCAGTGCTCATGTGTTAGAAAGGAATATGCTAATAGAAGGAGAGTGCAAAGTGACAAAGAGATGAGCTCACTCCTTTTCCATTTCTACTTTTACTGCCCAGGCACAAGCTAGGGTAAAAAACAAGACCTACAAGGGTTACTTACCTGCAGCAAAAATGTGATCTCCTGCCCTGCCAGACAGAGCTGTACCCTGTGTAGCTTTGTAAACCTTAGGACTAGATGGACAAAAATGCAAATGCTTTTGAAGATAAAATAGCTCCCTTATATGTATTTCATCTGTGTTTCAGCTTCAATTGTAAGGTGATAGACATGTCACAATTGTAAACTTACTGCTTTCTGTCATGGCACATAAGTTATAGGACACCCTTACCTTAGATTTCCCTTAGACACTTAGACCTGGGTTCACCCAAGAATGGTTTTCTATTCCCCACTCACAAGTTTCCATCCAACATAACTGTAGCTCCTACCCAGAGGTGTGTCCTGTAAAGTATAGATAGATAGATTGCATTAGTTTAAAATGGTGACACTGAAATTCCCCAATGATATCACACATGAACAATAAATAGATAAATAAATAAATACCTTCTCTTTTAATAGGATAAAAATTATAAAGATTCATATTAGAGGTGCACCAAAATGAAACTGTAAAAATGAAACGAAACCGAAATAAAAATAAATGTCAGGCCGAAACCGAAACCAAAAATGTTTTTTATTTTAACTTTTTCACATTTTTGATTTTTATGTATTTATTTATTCATTTTTTATTAAATATTTTTATTCTTTACTTTACAGGGGCTTTGGGTTTAGACCCCTGATATTTCCCTTAAAATAGAAAAAGAGATTGGGGACACAGAGTCCTCAATCTCTTTTTCTGTATCCCCAGTTATCAATGAACAGGAATCCTCTATACTGAGTGTTCCTGATCATTGATAACATGAGGACATAGTGTGTTTACTATAACCACAATCATGAATGAACAGGAGGTGATGCTGAGGATAATGATAATTGAGGATATAGTAAACATACTATGTCCTCAATTATTTACAAACACTCACTGATCACTGACTGCATGTACCCGGTCTCCATCCTGACAGCTGTCACATGAGGCTGATCGAGCAGTGCAGGAGGAGAGCTCAGCCTCCTGTGACAGCGCTGGCTATCTCCGCCCACACACCGCTCTCCCGATCTGCGACAGGAGGCTGAGCGGTGCTGGGAGGAGAGACGGCGGCCGCTCACAGCGCTCTCCTCCAGCAGCGCTCGGCTGCCTGTGACAGTTTCTCTCCTCCCCGCTGGGACATAGAGCACCGCCCAGCGGGGAGGAGAGAAAGCAGGGATGCGCCGCTCTATCGTCCAGAAAATGGCACATTCGGCATTATGCCAAAAGTGCCATTTTCGGCCGATGCACCTGTGCTTAGACTATAGACATTAAAGTCTTTACAAATTCTTAAAAAATGGCATAATTAATTGCTATGCAAAGACAGCATCAGTAAGTACTTATTTGTAAACATTTGATGTATGTGAGCAGCCAGTAGAGCAGGGGTGGGCAACTCCGGCCCTCCAGCTGTTGTGGAACTAAAAGTCCCATGAGGCATTGCAAGACTGGCAGTTGCAGGCATGACTCCCAGAGGCATGTTGGGACATGTAGTTAAAGCACAGCTGGAGGGCAGGAGTTACCCAAACATGCTGTAGAGTTTTTCTTGCTGAGAGTGTCTCTTTAACTTGGACCTAAAATGCTCATGTGCAAAGACTAAAACATCTTAAGCAGTGAAAGAGCTTTGAAACAAGCTCTTTCTGACCTCTGTAGCTGC